TATATATTACATCTATAATTACAATAACCGACATATAAAATTTTTTTTTTTATGTTAGTTATTATAAGTTACTCTTTCTTTCTTTATTATATAATTATAAATAAAACACATTTTAGCAATTAACAGTATTAGTGAATAATTATGGGAAATCGGATGCTAGACTTTTTAGCGACCGAAATCGAGATTGAAATAAGGTAGTCACGAAAATGCTAGTTGTTAAGTCAATTTGCGATTGATTATAATTTCATCGTTTTAGCGATCAATACTTTTGGTTGTTGACAAAAATAATTCCATCACCAAGATATTGGTTGCTTTAGTTTATGGAGATCATAATAGATACTAATTATTTCGGTCACAAAATTAGTCGTTGAAAGGTTACACATTATAGGAAAGGGATTTGAAGAGAATATAAAGTTAATTAAAATTTACTTATATTTTAAAGACATATTTTTTTTCTTATGATAAAGAGTGGGAAAAAATACTTAACATAGGAAGTTGATTTGAAACTTAACATAGAAATAACCAACATTACATGTTGCTTGTAACTATGAGTTCTTTAATCAACATAAAAGAACTAAACTAACCGACACAAAAGGGCCTTATCCCACTAGTGTCATTTTCATTATTTGGCTTATATTTTTAGTTTCTTAAATTTAGGATAAATTTATTTTTGGTCTCTTAAATTTAAAAATATTATTTTTAGTCATTGTAATTTTTAAAAAATCTTGTTTTAATCTCTTAGGTCACTAGTAATATATTTGAAAGTGATAAATTGGGACAATTATACACAATCAATTATATTTAATATAATGTTTTCACTAATAGAGACACTAGTAGGTAGAATTTATGTGTGATACCTTCTACCTTGCATGTATAATTAAATAAATATAATAATTGTAAAAGAAAAAATTGTATTTGAATAGCTTCAAACAAAGTTAAAAAACATCACATTTGAAATTCAAATAAGATTAAACCAACGCCTAGCTATTATAAACGTAAAGAAGATATGTTTTAAGGAAAGTAAATTGTAATTCTTAAAATAGAAAGCATAAAACATAATCCAAGATCCCCTTGTATCATAGTTATCAAAGCTATCCTTACAATCAACTAGATTCCTCCGAAAAAGAAGCCTCCTACAACCACATAAAAAAACATCAACAAGGAAAACAGTGGAGTGAGAACATATCTCACTTTGGCTACCAGTGTAGAATGAGACTAGGTAGCCATACACAGTCAAAACATAGTTCAAACACAAGAAAAATGTTATAGTCATACACAGTCTAAACTCTCGTAAATTATATGCATGTGATGCCAATAAAATCATTTTTCCTTGTCCAAAGGTTGAATAGTCTAGGAGTATCGGTTCAAATTATCACAATACTCTCACTAAAAGGATATACTATTAGAGTCTCATTGGGATAATTGAGCCTTGAAAGATATGTCTCATGCACACAATGAGCAAGATTAGGGCTTTCAAAACCAAACTATCCCAATGACTAATCTCCAAGCTTTTACACAAGGGGGTTTTCCCTAGTAGTGTATTATGCATCATACCCATCACAAAAACACAAATGCACATGATGCATGACATTCAAAACTCAATGTATTTACCACACATAATCACTTATCACTTATAATTCATAGTACATCATGTTTTGTCATTGATCGCTTTATCACTTCAAAATTCATCACTTATCAGTTTATCACTTATCATAATAACTTATGTACATAGATCCCTCACACATACACACATAAGAAATAATTTCAGACATAGGGCGCGCCTGACAAGACACATACTGCGCTTGGCACACTCGAGGCCATGAGCCTCTAGAAGGAATCAGGCCTGACATTATCCTCTCTCCACTTGACGAGATGCATCTAGAGGACCTCTAGAGATCTCATGCCTAGGCAACTACACTCACGCATAGCATCAATAATGTCGCAAGTATTTTGGGCTTACACGCCCAACAAGGCCAAGCCCAGGCCTAATGTGGTCAGGGCTACAAGCATTTTGTGTTACTCATGCCCAACAAGCCTAAGCTATTACCCGATGAGATATCAGTAAAGAGATTTTTTTGCATAATTTGCGATTTTTCAAATATAAGACTCTTAAGATTTCTACAATTTCAAACTGTTAAATGGGTTTCTATAGTATAATTGATCCGTGTTTTAGTCATGCAATTTACAATTATTTTGAATTCACTCTTACTCAAGGGTTTAGGTACATCCCTAGGGTTCACCTAGGAACCCACAAGAAGTCATAGGTTCATGATCACATTCAAGTATTATAATTAACACATCAATACTCACTTTTAACATGTTCAAAACATCTAATTTCATAACAAATTACACTTGGTTTGAATGTAATCACTCACCCGGATACATATGCACATAACCTATGGATATTGGGGGCCAATCCTACTATTCAATAATTACCCTACACCCTAGAGCGATGCTCTCATTCTCACCCTTACCTTGATTGATGCTTATTTCAAGATTCTGATCTTTGAGTTCCTCTCTTGTTGCCTCTAGTTTGCCTCCTCTTTCAGATCACAAAGTACAATCAGACCACATGTGAGGCAGACCTAACACTACTATATTTAAATAAAATCCTGACTATCCCCCGCACACATAGTTTGTCAATAAAAAAACAACTAATTATCCTAACATATTTGAATTTGAAAAGATATTTACCAATATCGCCTTATCAAATCATCAAAATTTTTATTTTCTAATTAATTAATTATAAAATCTTTTATTAATCTATTTGAAAAAAGGTGGGATGTCATATTATGCGACATTTGACGAATTTCATAACAAATTTTGAATATAAAAACTAAAACAAAAGATTTTGCAATCACAAGAATTATAAATACTAATTTTAAATTTGAGAGAAAAAAATAAATTTACCTTAAATTTAAAATACTAAAATCATAATTAATCCTTTTCATTTTATCTTTTGAAATTGGTGCAGTAAATCATTTCACAGCTGCTATGAAGGATCCAGACCAGCCAGGCACTGGGTCAGTGATTCGTGGCTCTAATGTAGTAGGAACACATGATGTGCTGCCATTATTTGTTCCAGCTGCTGATATGGCTACAGTACAGCCAAAATCTTTTGATTTGCTACGGCCAGAATTGGAAAATGCTGCAGCTGCTGCACCCGTGATTGGTGGTGCGGGTACAACAACTTATTTAGCTGGTGCGGCCAGTGATGCAGCTGCTGAACTTGATGCAGCTCCAGATGATCTCTCTGTAGTGGATGCTAAGGAGTCTTCATTGGAGGGAATTCCATCATTAGAGGATATATCTAATGAACAAAATCAGGATGCTCGGTTCAAGACTCTGGTGTTGTTGGAGCTATTGCAGGTGCAGTAAATGTTGCATCCAAAATC